ATACCCTGTCATTAAGTCAGCAGACTTGAAAGATGTGGGGGCTTTCAGTGTATAAAGAAATAATGCTGTGAATCATAACACTACAGTTTCATCTCCAACTCTCAAAAGCATTTTGCTGAAAATCACATTAATCCTTATAATTTCCATGATAATAGGCCTAGAACAGTGTTTTGTGCATAGAGGGTAGGGTAAGTGGGGCAAGGGCTCCTTGAGACGGTGGGAAAAGGAGTAACTGCAGAGTTCTGAACCAGGAGGGGCTTGTGGGGCATTCCTACACTTGGGCAACCCCCAAGACACTTGGAAGGGGGCTGCCTCGCCTCCCTTCAGCTGGGGCGCCCCTCCTGGGGCTCCCCCTTCTATGTGTATGTTGTCACAGTAGGAGGAGAAATTTGGAAAGCGATGTACAGCACAGCCAGTGACTGAAAGTCCTAAGAATGTGGCAGAGAATCAAGAAATTAAAAAGCTGGAGAGAAATTAAGACAACACTATTAATTATACTGGAATATTATTTTAAAAGCTGGAGAAACTTTGGATGTGATGATAAAGTAAGTAGACTAATTTTGCAAAGATATAGATGCAGACTCATACATAGAAATGAAGGAGGCTATAGTTATCCCAGTAAGATTATTGGATGTCTCGAACGCAATTTGATCACAATTTTTAAAGTCTCTCATTGAATTTTAGTCACATGCCTAATTCTTGATCAAAATGTCTACCAGCAAATTTGATTACCCTCCCCATTCATCTGCATAATCTCTTGGGCAACTTTTCGTAGTCAAAACCAAAAATTAATCTTCCCTCCAGGGATGATCATAGGTGGCAGCACGATTGTTCAGAGTATCTCAGAGTTTCCCCAGTTTTAACCAGAGGTCCAAAGACTTTCTCTAAATACAGGTGTTATGTATTTTGAATTCCAACTTTGGAGAGACAATTTTCCACGGAGGGCTCATGTTTCTGCATACCTTGTGAGCAGAGGCACAGACCTTTTGTTCCAGGCTTTTTATGTTGATGTAGGAAACTCGCTTGGAAGACAGAGTATCTCCCTCTTGGACAGCTTTACTTGTACACCCTTTAGAGACTGGATCCAGAGCTAGAAATTCCTCAGCTGTGATGCAAGCCTATTCCATGTACAGCATCTGGGCTGTTCTGCGTAGCTCCCACAGAACTTGGGAGACAAGAGGAGCAGATGGGGAACATGAAGCTCACGCAGCCTGTGGTGCCTCTGACCCGGGACTCCCCTGTCTTTGGCTAACACCCACGACACGGTGGCAGGTTAACTTGTCAGCCTGCACACAGCCTAAGTCTCGGACCCTCCCTAGTTCTTGATACCAATCGCTCCGCAAATTTAAATTTTACAGAATAAAAGGATTTTTTTTGTCCTAACTTCCTACCTCAAGCAAACGATCTAATACAATTCCAGCACAACGAATAAATATGGACTGTCTTCTGGAGTTTGTTGCAAAGGGATCTAGTATTTCCAGCCAGAAAACTGAGAAGTAAATATAGTGTATTAAAGGATACGTGTAAGAAAGACAAAGGTTAGATAGGGCTAAAAAAAAAAAAAAAGGAGTAAAGGGGAAGAAAGTAATTCTAGAGGGTGGAAATAGAAATAAATTACAAAGCGTGTCTTGTTTCATCCCACAGGCTAAATCATTCGTTACTAATGAAAATTATAGCCCTGTCGCCCTCTACTGGAACCAGGCTGGAAACTGCAGGGAAATAGCTTTGAAGTTGATCTTTATGAAAACTGCTCACGTCTGTTATTTATTGTTACCGTTTTCCAGATTTTTATTTTTTATTTTTTTCGCTTTCCAGATTTTTAAAGCATAAACCTCAGGTGTTCAGAAAGATAAAACAACACAGCTTCCTTTGCATATGCAGCCTGACAGGTTAATGCTGAACAACCTAGTGCCGAAGAGTGGACAATCCTCCCCAAACTCACCTTTAATTTGTGGCAGCCAGATCACAGGGACCACTAACAGCGTAGCCTTCGCTGGACATCCCAGCAGGTAGTCCCCAGCACCTCTGCCTCTACCTACCCCACTTCCACTCCGTGGACGAGATCCGCTCAGAACTCGTCCCTCATCTATTAACCCCATTATGAAACAGACTCAGTTCCATCTTAGCAAGTATCACTGCTCCTGGGGCCTACAGTAGGGCTCTTCCAACAGAGTAACATCACACTATGAATTCAAATGGTGAGTGCCAAAGGTCAAAACCTTCATTTTTAAAGGTCACCCTATCTATACCTAAAAGCAACATATCCAAATGTTTCGATCATGCACTGAAATCAGAAAAAAAAGTTATAATGCACCAATAAATGTATTTATTTACGAATTATAGAAGTGTACAATTGTACAATATATTATGTACATTATAAAACACACAAAAATAGAAATTTAAAAGGATGAGAGTAAATACAAATAACCATTTTAACATTTTCCCAACGGACTGATTATCTGGATACCCCAGGGATTTAACACACCCCCTACCTGAAACCACAGTCCTAAAGCATGCCAATGATTGCTGTATTTGGATTTTTAGCTCAGGTTACAGAAAAATGTACCATATCACAGCTTTTTAAAGTTTTGCAAAATAGCCCTAGTATCTAGTTTAACTGTGTGAAGATGCTAGATGCTAACTTATGACATATTTGGCCTAATCACGACACAGCTAGTGTGAAATGTTACTTTATGGCTCACTAATAGCTGTTTCATTTTAAGGCAAACTAAGTAGGGAATTTCACAGTTAAGAATCTGGAGAGGAAAAAATGCTTTATAGAAATACTTAAGCGAAAGGATGAGGATTTGCCTATGAAAAAAATAAAGAGCCAATAGCTAGCATCTGAAAAAAAATAATTCCTCTGCCTACAGTAGAAAACTTAAAAAAAAAAAAAAGCATTGCAAACAATGGCCATTAGCTAACACAAATGGATTAGAATGGATTGCTGCACATCCGCCTGTCCTAATACCGGTGAGTCCTTAAGAACATGAATTCTTTTATTTCTATAGCCCCAGTATCCAATCATAAGCCCAGGCACACAGAAACTCAGTGAATATATGATGAATGATGAACAACTGCTCAAAAAGTATGTAGAGTACTGAATTACATTTGAAATAATTGTTGCTAAAGAACACTCCAGCATCTGGTTTTGATTTATTGAAGCAAGTAACTAGATGAACGTCATGGTCAATGACACACTCAGAGAGCTTCATTACATTCTTCAACATCCTCCCACTCCCTTTCCCATCATTCCTGTGGCATCCCCCAACTCCTACTGCTTGCACCCAAGGTCTGAGCTTCCCACCATGGAGTGGAGTGCAGTGGAGTCGTACAGCCGGACAGTCTTGTCCTTCTCCACCCCTTAGTGCAAGCGGGGAGAAATAAGAGTACTGTTCTATACAGAGAATTTTTCAAAGTGCTCCTTAATTAAAAAAAAAAATATTCATGAAAGCTTAAACATTTTTAGAAAGGACATGAAAATCTGACTTTTGAAATCGAGATACACACATGACAAAACACTGTGGGGCCTCCATCAAGTTTTATAACACTAAAATTTACAACTGCGAGACTTTCAGTTGTGGTCTCCTCATGACTTCTTTTAATAGGTACCTCACCAATTTAAAGAGATTAAAATATTACACAATTTAAGTAACTTAATTTCATAAATAACCAGTCTCATTTTGTGTACACATGCTGAATGTTTTCATCTATACGTTCATTTATTCTGCTGACAAAATGTCAAGATTCTTGATGAAAACAGAACTGAAATTACACTAAGAGTTTCCATTACATTAAATGCAAACCAGGGTTAGTTATCAAATCTTGATCAAGAGAAGGGATATGGAGGACAGAGATTTGCTGGAGATGGGAACCATATGAAAGCTTAGTTCTTTCACTATCGCAATATGGAAGGAGTTTTTTTTTTTACCTAAAGTACTTATTAAAGGATAATGTACTTAACGTGGTTGGGAAGTACATATGTATCACACAAAGGACAAAGGAAAACAGACTGGTGGGATTTTCTAAGGTCAAAGTGATGTTTTTTAAGCACTGTGGTGAGTTACTGAGTTGTAAAATCATCCTCTCTGGAGGCTTAAAACGCAGAAAGCCAGTTGTTTGGATGAATCAAGTCTCAGACAAAATAGCTACTAGAATAGAAATACTTTTCTTGAAAATTATCTATTAAGAAAACCAGGACATGTGCACATTAAACCTTGTTTGGTTTGCTCACATGTTTTCTCAAATCCCTCTTTTTGCTTGTGGCTACAGGCTGGGCTCACTCCCTTTTATCGCACTTCGGTGACCAGCAGCTGTCTCACCGGACGCTGGAGCTTCCCAGAAAAACCTGACTCAAAGTTGAACCCACCCACCTTCTACTTGTAAAATGAAAACAAATCTTCAGTGGCACTACTGCCTGCCAAGGAAGGGTCTCATTAACATCTTTAAAAAGAAAAACAGGTGATGGAATTTCCAATGAAATTGCTTTGAGTATACTGTTGAAATTAGATCCTAAATTTAGAACCAGAAAAACCATTCGAGTTTTTGGTAATTTTCAAATTTTATTTCCAACTACCACAGTAACAAAATACCAGTGATAATTCTGCATGGAAAGTGGCAACCTTTTAAATCAATAAGGTCACAAATTAGTATTCCAACAGTACTTTGGCCTATGGAGATTTTGATAGGAGAGGATTATTACAATCAGTCCTATTATATTATAGACATATGCTTCCTCAGTATATAGTAATAAAAATATTCATCTTACCTCAATGATTCATCATGTATACATTCCTACTCTTTATAAGCACTATCTTTCTGGGTTGCAATGTGTGAGGGGGAAATTCCTCCCACGCATGGGTTTTTCTATACCATACAGAAACAGCAGTCACTTCAGCAGTAATGTACATTATTAATTTTTTAGTTGAAAAATAAGAGTGAATTATCCTATTATATCCTTTCTCTGGAAGTAAAAAGACACACACCATTACAAACGTAAAATGAGTCAAACTTCTATTTTATTGACAGGAGTCCAAAATGAATACAAAAGAATGCCTCCTTTGCATGTTATGTATTTTTTTCCTTAAAAGGCTTCTGAGTCAGGTAGATTTTAAAAGCTAAGAATGTACTTCAGCTTTTATAGTGAACCTTTTAAAAAAGGTTTAATAACATGAGTCACCAACATCAGAGAACACATGGTCCCACAATCATTTTTAGACCTATAGCTTATAAAAAGAATTAGATCCTGCACTGATCTGCTAAATAGAGGCTTAAAAATGTTTTAAGCCATTAAAAGCCATTTTTATAATCTGTCTGATAACTCTGGGCAATTAAGAAAAGGAACATCCTCAAATGTAGCCCTCTATATTATGTGGAATGTGATAGAATGTCAACTTATGATCAAGACAGGTAAAAATAAAAATTTCAAAGCTATGAATGGAACTGTTATAAATAGTCTTGTATCACTGCAAAATGTCAATAAATGAATGGCAGAGCTTATCAAAAGATTAAAACTTGAGCAGATGTTACTTAAAACATGTGTGGTGTTTATCATACTTCAATGTTTGCTGAAAACTAAAGCTAAACAAAGAAAAATTGCTCATTTATAGATTGGTTTTTATGTACCTTTACTTTTACTGGGACCATAAACTGATCAGATAATACATAGCCCACACTTCTGGACAGTTATAACAAAGGGTTTATTATCATTTGCCCATGAAATAAATGCACCATCCCATACTTGAAAGGCTTTAACAAGCCTTAAGTGTTTTTCAGACTGTACCAAGGCATCAACACTGCCTAGTTATATTATGCACCCATTTCTAGTAAAGCACTAACACCTCCCTCAACATCAGTTCCGCACTGTTTCCGGTTTATTATACACTTCCAAAACAGCAAACATTTGCAAATACTGTGGTCCGTTCATAGTACTGCTTAGTCATCATCTTCCTCCTCTTCTTCCTCCTCCTCAAAGCTATCTTCAAAGCCTTCGCTGTCCTCCTGGTCTTCATCCCCCTCTATTGCTGTATCCCACTGTGGGTGATTTTCTGGTACAGGCTTAGCCTCATGAACTTCCAACTATAAAGAATTGAACGCAGACATCAGAAATTTTGGGAGGAAAAATGGAAGAAATATCTGATAAAGAAAAGGTTTTCTTTGACCAGAGCAATTATAAAGAAATAGATTTTATGGTTAACTTTAAATTTAACAAATTTATTATAATAGATATTTGTAATCTGTTAACAGACAAATATGGTTAAATTTCTAATACAGTTTGACATTTTAATTCTATAGAGGCTATACTATTTATCCTATACAATGAAAGATTAATCACTGTGATTCTTGAGCAAGAACACTGAATTATGTCTTCATAAGTCTTTTTTTTTTTTTTTTTTAAGATTTTATTTATTTATTCATGAGAGACAGAGAGAGGCAGAGATACAGGCAGAGGGAGAAACAGGCTTCATGCAGGGAGCCCGATGCGGGACCCAATCCCATGACTCGATCCTGGGACTCCAGGATTATGCCCCTGGGCAGGAGGCAGGCGCTAAACCACTGAGCCACCCAGGGATCCCCGTCTTCCTAAATCTTAATAAGAATTAAGAATTATGTCTTAACAAGTCTGCTGAGGGAAGAAAAACTCAACTATGACTTTCAAAACAGTATTTTGCAGGCTCCATACTCATCACGTAATATTCTATAGACGATGAAAAAAAAAATATGGCACTCTCATGGGAAAAAACAGGTATGCCTTTACCAGTTCCCTTTACTTTGGGACTCCAGGGCAGCCCCGGTGGCACAGCGGTTTAGCGCCGCCTGCAGCCCAGGGCGTGATCCTGGAGACCCTGGATTGAGTCCCACATCAAGCTCTCTGTATGGTGCCTGCTTCTCCCTCTGCCTGTGTCTCTGCCTCTCTCTCTCTGTCTCTATGAATTAATAAATAAAATCTTAAAAAAAAAAAAAAAACTTTGGGACTCCAGCACACAGTGGAACAATACTTCAGCACAACATTTACACAACAATGCCTTTTATAAAAACCACAAATGAAGCTGGTAAACACTGACAGGAATGTGCTTTAAGTGATACTTATACAAAGTGTGTATCTTGATAAAAACAAATTAATTTCAGAAATTAATCAACATTCCAACAGAATCTGTGGGAAAATACATCTGCTTTTCTATTAAAAAAACCCAAAATACAGAACTCAGCTGATGAGGTCTTAGAAAGTTAACAGTATATAACACATTAAGACTATCACTTAAGTAATTTATACTTAACAATCTAAATCATTTTAGTAATTTATATTCTAGTTTCTAAAGCATTATACTACTTTAACTCAACAAATTAAGTTTATTATTGAAAGAGCAGGCCATCAAGTATATCACATACAAAGTATGAGAAAACATCTTTTTCCCTCTCTTACTCTACATGTCAGAACTAGAAATGCTTTCATAGTATGTTAAATAAACACTTATTCAAATAGGCAACCATATTTATTGAAGTCACTAGTCTTACCTTCAAGGGTTTAATTTGATCCAAACCCATATAGGAGTCTGATCTCAGAAACACTGTATATTGATAATTCCCAGGCTTGCCTGGTGCAGGAAACTTCAGTTCTACCTAGAAGAAAAAAATAGCACTTAAAAATCCATATTTTTGAGAAATGGAAAAAACATCATCTATATCTTTTATTATATTCTTTAATAATAAACTAGTTAATATGTTTCCCTGAGTTCTATGAGCCATTTTATTAGCAAATTATCAGACCCAAGGAAGGGGTCATGGGAACCCCAATTCATACCCAGTTGGTGAGAAATACAGGTGACAACTTCAGACTTGCAACTGACATGTGAAGTACTTGGTGAGGAGGCAGTTTTGTGGAACTGAGCCCTTAACCTGGGGGATGTGATGCTAATTCCAGGTAAAGAGTGCCAGCATTAAGCTGGAGGACATTGCTGGTGTGACAAAGAATTGCTTGGTGTGGGGGAAAAACCCATACACCTCATCAGTCTCAAAAGTGTTTTGAGTATGATACTAGTGTAAATGAAAAACACACAGCAGAAGTGAGTTTTTCCTTTACAAATGCCCAATGTGGAAAATATTGAATGATTTCACTCATATGTGGAACCCAAAAAAGAAATAAATGAATAAACAAAAAACAGAATTTGACCTATAAGTACAGAGTAGAAACTGAGGGTTGCCAGAGAGAATGGTGAGGTGACGAGCAAAATGGGTGAAGAGGAATGGGAGATAGAGAGAATGGTGAGGTGACGAGCAAAATGGGTGAAGAGGAATGGGAGATACAGGCTTCCAGTTATGGAATTAATAAGTCATAAACAAGAAGCACAACATAGAAAATATAGTCGATAATATTATAATAGCATTGTATGGTGACAGACAGTAGCTATACTCATTGTGAACATAATTTAACATATAGAGAAGCTGAATCACTGTCATATACCTGAAACTAATGTAACATTGTATGTCAACTATACTCAAATAAAATAATTTTTTTAAAACATGCCCAGTGCTGGGGTCCCTATGTGGCTCAGTCGGTTAAGCATGTGCCTTTGGCTCAGGTCATGATCCCAGGATCCTATAATCGAGCCAGTCGGGACTCCCTGCTCAGTGAGGAGTCTGCTTCTCCTTCTCCCTCTGCCACTCCTCCTGGCTTGTGCTCTCCTGCTCTTGCTCCTGCTCTCTCTTAAATAAAGCCTTAAAAAAAAAGAAAAAAAAACCCATGCCCAGCGCCTTAAAAGGTCAAGAATATATTTATTACCTATTAAATCATAAACTTCATATACAGTTACAAACTCTTAAAAATTTCAATTTCAGGGAAAGGATGGCAGGGGAGTAGGAGGACTCTAGGCTCACATCATCCCATGAATACAACTAGGTAACTATCAAATCATCCTAAATACCCCAGAACTTGACCTGAAGACTGGTAGAAAAAAAAACTCCACAGCTAAGGGGAGGGAAGAGGCCATGCTGAAGAAGGTAGGAAGTATGGAGACACAGTTTGGGAGAAATGGATCATGGCACTGTGGTAGGGAGGGAGCCACAGCTGTGGAGAATGGCAAGAGACAAACTAATACACAGGGGAGTGCACATGGAAAAGGAAATCTCATAGTAAAGGCCTTAGAAAACAAGAGTGCCCAAATTTCATGAGTTCTTGCAACTAGCAGGGCTTAAAGCCTGGAGTTTTAAAGGTCAGCATGCTTGGCTCTGGGAGAGCTCAGAGGGTATTGGGGCTGCTCTTAGAGAAAAGGCAGGGCAAACAGTCCATGGACATACAGCACGGAAACAGTGACCTGAAAAATAATGGGGCACACAGTGGGGAGGGCATGCACTCACTTCAGAGGGCATCACAGAGAGATGGTGTTGACGGAGAGTCCTCTGGCTGGGGCCATTACCCTCCCCTACCCCTCACCTCAGACAGGAAGCAGCGAAGTACCAATACTCACTACCTAACTTGCTCACATGAAGCCCCCCCAACACCTATGTTCCAGCGGAACCACGCCTTCCAGTCATACTTGCCTCAGTCCCAGCACAATGGGCCCTAAGTCTGGCCAGGGCCTCAGTTCCCATGGACGTGGCAACAAGACTCGTTTTACAAGCAGAGCAAAACAGAACCTAGTTAAAACACGCCACATTCAGGGAACCAAACACTGCCTACCAACAAGCAAAGGGACCCTCTGTAGACTAATGGCCTGAAGGATAAAGCAGCCAAAACACAAAACCAAAGCCCACAAAGCACACACTGGAGACATTCTCTGAAGCACCAGGCCCTTGGAAACAGGGGACACTACACTACAGAATACTACAGGACCTCCTCTAAATAAAGCCATTACTCTCAAGAACAGAAGGCATAGCTGACTTTCCTACACAGAGAAAGAGGCACAGAGACTTAGACAAAATGAGAAATCTCTCCCAAATTAAAAGAACAAAGGCCACAGCAAGAGATCTAAGCAAAACAAATATAAGTAACATGCCTGATAGAGAACCTAAAGCAATAATCATAAGGATACTCACTGGGCTTGAGTAAAGAGTAGAGGACATCAATGAGACCATTAACACAGCGGAAAAGGAATAACAATAGTAGAGATAAAGAGCTCAATAAACAAAATAAGATACACCTGATGGAGTAAATGGCAGGCTGGAATGAATTAATGATCCGTAAGACAGAGTAACGGAAAGTAATCAAGCTGAACAAAGGAAAGAAAAAATTATGCAAAAAACAAGAATAAAAGTAAGGAACTCAGAGACTGCATGAAGCATAGTAACATTCATATGATAGGATCTCAGAAGAAGAGAGAGACAAGGGAACAGAGGCTTTATTTGAAGAAATAATAGGGGAAAACTTCCCTAATCTAGGAAAGGAAACAGATATCCAATACAGATCCAGGAAGTATAGAGAACCCTCAACAAAATCAACAAAAGCAGATCCACACCAAGATGGATTATTATTAAAATGGCAATATAAGGTGATAAAGAAAAAAATATTAAAAGCAACATGAAAAAGACAATTACATACAAAGGAAATCCCATAAGGTTATCAGCAAATGTTCCAGCAGAAACTTTCCAAGTCAACAGGAGTGGCATGATATCATGCTTGGAAAGTTATTTAAAATGCTTAATAAGGAAAAACCTGCAGCCAAGAATACTCTATCCAGCAAAGCTATCTATCATTCAGAATAGAAGGAGAGAGAGTTTCCTAGACAAAAATAAGGGGGTTCACGACCACTAAACCAGCCCTGCAAGAAATATTTACAGGGGACTCTCTAAGTGGAAAGGAAAGACCAAACATGACACTATGAAGGTAGAATATATAAAAGCAGCAAAACTAAATAGTTCTGTAAAAAAAAAAAAAAAAAAATCAGTCCAGAAACTCACAAAATTAAAAGGATATAAAATATATCCCTAAAACATGGGGAGGAGAGGAGTAAAGAATGGGTTCAAACTTAACCATCAACTTAATATAGGCTGCTATATACAGAGATTTATATACAAACCTAATGGTAACCACTAATCAAAAATCACTACTAAATATGCAAAGAATAAAGACAGACAAATCCAAACATACACTAAAGAAAACCAGCAAACCACAAAAAGACAAGGATCGGAGAAAATCTTCAGAAACCACCACAATACAAGTAATAAAATGGCAATAAATACGTATCTATCAATAATTACTCTGAATGTAAATTAACTAAATGACCCAATCAAAAGACACAGATGGATATGGATAAAAAAATAAGACTCATCTACATGCTGACTATAAGAGACTCATTTCAGATTGAAAGACACCTGCGGATTGAAAGTGAGGGGATGGAGAAGCATTTATCATGCAAATAGATGTCAAAAGAGAGCTACAGTAGAAATATTTATATAGGACAAAAAAGAGTTTAAAACAAAGACTATAACAGGAGACAAAAAGGACACTACATAATAGTAAAAGGGACAATCCAACAAGATGATGTAACAATTGTAAATATTTATGCTCCCACCATGGAAGTAACCAAATATATAAACCAGTTAATAACAAACATCAATGAATTAATAAAAAATTACACAATACCTATAGGGGACTTCAATACCCCACTATATATCAATAGATAGATAATCTAAACAGAAAATCAACAAGGAAATCAAGGCTTTAAATGACACACTGGACCAGATGGATTTAACAGATATATTCAGAACATTCCACCCTAAAAAGCAGAATGCATATTCTTTTCAAGTGCATGTGGAACATTCCCCAGAAAAGATTACATGTTAGGTCACAAAACAAGTCTCAACAAATTCATATCCTGCATCTTTTTTGACCATAACACTATGAAACTAGAAATAACCCACAAGAAAAAATCTGGAAAGACCACAACCACATGGAGGTTAAATAATCTGCTACTAAACAATCAATGTATCAACCAGGAAATAAAAGAAACAAATGAAAATGAAAACACAACAACTCAAAACCTTTGAGAGGCAGCAAAAGCAGTTCTAAGAGAGAAGTTTATAGCAATACAGGCCTACCTCAAGAAGCAAGAAAAATCTCAAACAAACGACCAGACTTTGCACCTAAAGGAGGCAGAAAAAGAGTGGCAAACAAAACCTAAAACCGGCAGAAGGAAGGAAACAATAAAGATTGGAGCAGAAATTAATGATCTAGAAACTAAAGAAAACAATACAACAGACCAATGAAGGCAAAAGTTGGTTCTTAAAAAAAAAAAAAAAAAAAAGGAAAGGAAAAAAAAAATCAATAAAACTGATAAATCTCTACCCAGAGTTATCAAGAAAAAGAAAAGACCCAAATAAAATCACAAATGAGAGAGGAAAAATCACCACCACCACAAAAATACAATTTTAAGAGATTATTATGGAAAACTATATGCCAACAAAACTGGACAACCTAGAAGAAATGGATACATTTCTAGAAACATATAACCTACCAAAACTAAAACAGGATAGAAAACTTGAAAAGACTGATAACCAGCAAAGAAATTTAATCAGTAATCAAAAAACTCCCGAAAAACAAAACTCTGGGACCAGATGGCTTCACAGGTGAATTCTACACCATCTAAAGAAGAGTTAATACCTTCTCCAACTATTCCAAAAAATAG